CTTTCTTCCTTAGAAAATTTAGGATTTAACAGTAGAAGTTAAGAGTTCAAGATCAATCTCCAAATAAAATGATAGGCAATGCCAAATTTTTCATGTATCTGCTTTATACATTTATTTCCCATGCTTGAAAGTTACAATTTTATAAAAATAATTTAAAACTTATATATTTTTTCTATTTATCCTCCATTTTTTAAAAAAACGTGTCTTTCCTCTGTTGAACGGCAAGACTACTTGTTTTCTATCACATAGGAACTCAAAAGTTAAGGATGCAAAACCATTCTACTGCCTCAGAATTCAACATTTTGAATGCCATCAAGTGTATCATAAGAGTACATTTTGGATTAAGTAACAGCAGAAAGAAGGAACTGTTATTTAGATATTATAGGTTCCCAAAGCAAGCTTACATGAAAAATCTCCTCCTTACCTTCATCTCACCAACCCCAGGGACGCTTCTGTGATGTCTGGAGAAGGTGGTAATTTTTTGGTATTCTAAGCATTGCAGTTGCTCTTCAGGCAAGAAGAAAACTACATTTTCTTCAGCTTAGGGGGAAAAGTGGAAAGGATACAAGAGAAAGAAAACTGGGTCATTTTTTCCCCCTACTGTACTGCTGACCGCAAACTATGTAGCATACATGATTCAGTGATAGATAACCACAAAGCATCTGAGAGGAACCCTGGGCCTTTCGTGCCAACAACAACAGAAAATTTAAGTGATTGCAAAATTATAATTTCAAGAAATAAGGCATTCATGCTGGGTGAGGTGGCACATGCCTGTAATCCCAGTGACTCAGGAGGATAAGGCGGAGGACTGAAAATTTGAAGCCAGCCTCAGCAACTCAGTGAGGACCTAAGCAACTTAGTGAGACCTTGTCTCAAAATAGAAAAATTTAAAAAAAAATAATAAGGGCTATAGATGTAACTCAGTGGTAAAGCACCCTTGGTTCAATCTCCAGTACTAAAAAAAAGAAGAAAAGGAGGAGAAAGAAAGAATTCTGTTCTGACTCCTTATTTTAGCCCCATGACTTAGAGTAAAATGATTATAGAGTGAACATACCCTTGACGTTTCTCAGGATAAACCTTGTTTACCCTCTTACTCTAAGATAATTATTATCAGTGACCCTTTTACTGACAAAAATGCTTCCTAATGGAAATTATATGGACTTCCTAAATATAAAGAACATTTAGTATAATTTAACTTTTTAATTTTTTTTTTTCTGTGAGACCCTACATTTGCCAGGCTCTGAGATAGCTCTTTCTCATTTGTGATATAATTAAATTTTCACAACAAGTCCATTAAGTAGATAATATCACTCTTTTAAAATACAAGAAACTTTAGTTCAAAAATGTTAGGTCATTGCCCAGGGCCACAGGGGTGTATGACAGTCAAAATTTAAAAACATTCTTGTGCACACCTGTAATCCCAGTGCTCGGGAGGCTGAGGCAGGAGGATCAAAAGTTCAAAGCCAGCCTCAGCAACTTAGTGAGGCCCTAAGCAACTCAGTGAGACCCTGTCTCTAAATAAAATATAAAAAAGGATCTGGGGATGTGGCTCAGTGGTTAAGAGCCCCTGGGTTCAATTTCCAGTGCCAAAAATTAAATAAACTATTCTTTCAATTATGTTTTATGCAGGTTCAAAATTGAAACTTAAAAATACCTTTTTCTGACCCCCTTGATTGCAGCATGCAATCCAAGTGGCTAGATACAAGACAGAAGGAGTTTACTTCTAGGTAATAAGGCATGATTGACTCAGCCAGCTACTGGAAGATATCAATAGTTCTAACAGTTCCATTGTCCAAAGTAAGTTTTCCAATCACAGTATGTGCATCCCTGAGGCGACCTTGCATAAGAAAAAACTGCTCCAGGAGAACTTTCACTACATGCTTCTCACTGCTCCTGCTCCGTAGCCCTGGAAACAGAACGGAACTCCTCCCATGCCTGCTGCCCACTGCTACCAGTCTTTCCCACACCCCAGATATGAAGAGAGATAATAAGGCCCTCAAATAGAAGTTTCCAGATTATGAGTCATGGCTTACTCAGCCTTTGTTACAGAGAACCTGGAAGCCTTTGAAATACAATGTTGATTTTGGCAGTCTTAAATCTCTGTGCTGCTATCAAGAAACAAGTTACTCAACTAATTTGCTGGAGAAATTACCTCTGTAATGAGTATATTGAGAACAACCTATGTTAAAAGAGGTGGTGTTTAAGATATGGGGTTTAATGCCTGTTTATATGAATACATACTTATTTCTTTGAACAGCACTTAGCATTTCAATAACTATTTGTCACAATGAATTCTTTTAAAAAATCAACAAAATTTAACATTATTATTGTGTTCTTACTATGAGACAGGCATCATATTAAGAGTTTTATATAGATTATTTTTTCCTTCTCTTTCTCTCTGAATGCACATATACATAAATACAGAAATATATATTACATATATGCTTTTACTCATGCTTTTATATATGATAATGTCTTTGGCGCAATAAACACTTAAGTATAGACATTTAAATTTAATTAAATCAGATATGAAAACAACCACATACATTGGCATGTCTTCCCTAATGTTAGTTATTAATTTTTATATGTACTTCATAGAGATAATTTCTGAAACAAATGTGTGGTATGTGTTATACCAAGATAGTGTATATAGTTATCAAGAAAAATGCATATGTTATATTCATTTAAGTAATATTGGAAAACATGTATTGTTATATAATTAGTAACATAGTAACTGTATAATCCTTATCTGCAAAGCATAGATAATACTGTGGCCTAATTATTAGGGCTTGCAAGTAGATAAAATTAGACAATACACATAAAGCACAGCTCCTAACATTGCAGACACTCAATAAATCAAAGATATACTCTTTATAACTACAATGAAACTGGGATATAGACAAAATTCTATTTTATTTAGGAGAAAAATGTTGTTCGGTGTTAAAGGCACTGTTTGAAAGAGGTACACTTGTTCTATCATTGTAAAATAATGTTATATTGATAGCAATATGTAAACCTAAAATATTAGTTTTAAAGTTGACTTGTCATATTTTATAGTTTACAATTTTTCAATGATAAATTCTGAAGATTTATCCTGAAAGAAAAAAAAAACCACTTATTTTGTTGCTTTTGATTTTGTTTGGTTTGTTTTTCAATGTATTTTGAACCAAAACAATGGAAGGGAAAGTTAAATAACAGAATTGTCTTTCTCCATCTGAAGGATATTTCTGCAGTTCCAGGTTAATCTTTGACTCATTTCAGGGTCATGCTATTGTTGTTGACTGTGGCTGGCTCAGGAGCTCAGGTATAAGCCAATCAACAAAAGGTGATCCCCTGTGGATTCATTTTTTTTTTCAAGAATGCAGAGGTGATCTAATGTAGATCCAGATCCAAAGAAAATTTTTGAAGGTTTTGGTAAAGAATTTTTTTTTGTTCTTATGAAAATTGCTAAAAGAGCTGGATTCCCTTTTGTTGGACATTTTGTGCATAGATCCAAGGCATAAAATAGTGCCAGTTATCTTACTACTTCTGTTTGAGAATTAAGCAGACATCCTGAGGAGACAAAAACTGAGAGAAATGTAGAAAAATAAAGCTGGAGAAATTGAATTAAGCCAATCTGAGGGATGAATCTTGATTTCTAAAGTCAATGAATTTTCTCAATTTCCCATACCAGGGGTACCAGCCTCATCTGGTAACTTATTACAACGTCAGTTCTAGAGTCCTATTACAGACTTGCAGAATCAGAAACAGGGAAGGACAATCTGTGCTTTCAAATGTCCTTTGGATGATTCTGATGCACACTAAAATTTGGGAACCACTGGTTTGAGCCAGTTTGAGCCATATTTTGTAACTTGCTATTCAAGAATATAGTAAATGTAATAACTAAACTTATAGATATATACCAACTATACACTCCTGAAAAGATTATATGAAAATATACTGAAATTGACTAATGATGAACTAAGATGAAAAATTGAAAAGGGAGAAATCATGGTGTAATAGGACTGGATTAGTAGTTATACCAAAAGGTTGAGACCCTCCTGGGTATCCAGGTAGACCTGCTGGGGTCTACAGAAAATTAGTTTCTTTCTCTGTAACGTGGAAAATCCTAATGCTATTTTGAATAATAAATTAGACAATAAATGAAAAGCAATTAGAACTTTTTCTGAACATATACCAAGCACTTAGTAATGTCAAATATGATAATGATTATAATGATGATAACGATGATGACCAGCATTCACCCCATCAGAGGAGTTCTAAGGAATAAACCACACTGAATAAATAGATCATATTAATACTCTCAATAATGTGGAGTTGTTGGTGCCAAACCACTCTCATGATGACATTTGGATTCTAAATAAAGAATTTCATTAGAAAATTTATCTTATTAAAAGAATAACACTATAATTGCTTAATAAAAATTTAATTTGAAAATAGCTCTTAAAATCTAATGTTATTTTGGGGGCTCGGTTGTGGCTTAGCAGTAGAGCACTTGGCTAGCATGTTCGAGGCCCTGGGTTCAACCCTCAGCACCACATAAGAATAAATAAATAAATAAGTAGATTTTTAAAAATCTAATGTTATTTTTATTTACTCATCAAATGTTTATTAAGGGCCTAGTTATAAGGCACAAATAATAATATTTTAATGTAAATATACACATATCTCTCTCTGGTAAAACTAGAAAAATAAAAAAGACTGGATGTTAACAGATCTAACTGTTAACAATGTTTGTCTCTGAGCAGTGGGAACTGTGGTTTTTATTTTTGTTTTCATACATTCTGTAATTTTTTAAGAATATCTTTATGTGACTATTTAGTGAAAGTGCACTTCTAAAAAACAAACAACAAATTACTTTTCCTTGAAGGAACACAGAGGTCCAGATGATCTCATGGCCTCTAGCTGTCATTTCCCGTTCATGATATGGTGGCAATCAACCCTGCACTAGATAATGTTCAATTCCGAAATTACAGATTTGTTTTTCTTCCTATATCCAGATTCAAGTCACAATTTACTGTTTGAATTCAGAACCAACTCATGCCCTGACTTCAAGGATAGAAATCAGTGGTGGATGCTGTAAGGCAGACCTGAAGGACCCCAACCAACAGCCAGTGGGTGGATGCTAAAGGCACCTCTTCTGTACACTCAGAAAAATGAGAAATTATACCCCATCTGATTCAAATGTATGATATGTCAAGATCATTGTACTGTCATGTGTAACTAATTAAAACAGATAAAAAAATATATATTTTTTTAAATAAAGGCACCTTTTCTTGTTGCCTGCTATGATCCTTTGGGCTTCACACATGGGAGTGTAAAGCAAGGAAGTTCACGAGACGTTTGATGTTACAAATCTTAGGAAGCATCTTCATCCCAAAATTGGCCTGAGTTCTCCCTCAAATTTGAATTCACCAAAAGTTAGATTCTCCTGGCTAGATTTAGCACTGTTAGCTAATTATCAATCAGAAACCATGATAGGAAGCAATTGCAACCCAGGACTCTACAAAGCAGCAATTTACAGTTAATAAGTAGAACACACACACATTCTAATCACTCTTCACTTACTTCATTTATTTGTAAATATTAATTTTATTCTGTATTCACATCCCAAACTAAAAAGGCAAGGGAAATTATAGTAGGCAATATCAAACTATTGGTAAGGGCTTGATCTGAAGTAAGACCATCTGGGTTTAAATTCCACTTTAAAGAATGGGATAAAGGTAAGTTTAAAAATTTAGGTGTATGTGAGGTCATGCAGTGTTATTGTAAGGGCTAAAATAATAATGTACAATGCTCAACACAATTTCTAGTGCAGAGGATGCACTCTGCAAAGGTTAATTTCTAATAACCTCTCTTCACTTTCTTGAGACAACCTTTTGTCTATATGCTCTACTATTAATGCAAAATGGGTATCAGCAGCAAGTACCATGGAGGGGGAAGCCTCCACATATGTGCTTTCTTATCCCTGAAACGATGAGAGAAATCAAGATATAAGTGTATGTGGTAATTTTCAAACACTGAAGCTTTAGTGATTTTAGAAATAGGGGATCCTGAAGAACAAATAATAAAAGGAAATTAGTATATTTGGCAAAGATGTTGCTTAGTGGCCTATAGCTCTGACCTTCCTTGGGCAAGCTAGCCATAGGAAGAAAGGGCATACAGAATGCTCACTTAGTGAAAGGATGCCACGCTTAGCAACTCCTAGACACTAATAATGAAATTCTTTAGAGCTACCAGATCCTTGTCTCTCCCCCTAACACACACTGGGATTTGACTTCCAGCTCCATTTACACCTCATTTAGAATGTAAAGGGAATAACACCCTAGGCACATACTCCTTCAAATTTCAAGCCATCCCTGAAGTCTAAATCGAAAGTAGATAGATGCTCATCTCCCTGGGACCTAAAATGAAATAGGTCCCCTATGAACTCTCCAGACTTTGGTGTGCATGGCCAGACAAGACCTCAAGTGCTGACTCCAGGCCCAACTGTTCTTCATGCCTCAGTTCCCTTTGTTTAACCCTCAGTCTCTCAACTGGTGTGTTTGGAGTGGGGCATGGGGAAAATGGAGGAAATTTGATGGGGCAAAGGAGAGGGAGGGTTGGGGAAGGAGTTTGGGAGCAAGAAAGATGGTGGAATGAGATGGACATCATTACCCTAGGTACATGTATGACTGCACATACGGTGCGATGCTACTTTGTGTACAACCAGAGAAATGAAAAGTTGTGCTGCAATTGTATACAATGAATCCCAATTCATCCTACTGTCATATATATCTAATTAAAATAAATTAATTAATGGGGAAAAAAACTATGAGAGTGGAAATCCAGGCCTTGTTGTCAGCTATTGTTTATTTCAAATAGTCACCCTGTATAGATAGCCTCTAAAGGGAAAAGTGGTTTTGATGGACAATGCTTTGGTACCTATTATTTAAGAAAAAGCTCAAATACTAAATAGTGCCTTACAGAAAAGGAGACAGGAGACTTGCAATCAACAAATGACTTTTAACAATGCTGCAATGTGTCTTCTCTGCTAAAGTCATTTGGAGGATAAAAGAAGTAAGACCTTGAAGCCAGTTTGGGTACTACAAGTCACAGAACTGAAATGATATAAACAAATGATGTAGCTTTAAAAAACTTCACAGGATCCAGAAGGACAATACCTTAAAGGTTAACAAGGTACTTTGCTAATGCCAGAATACCTTGTCATAAAACCTCAACTCTTCCAAAGATAGAAGGAATAGAATTCTCACCTCATCTGTTACATGTCCTGGAAAATATCAAGATTCTCAGACTTTCTGTCAGGGAGGTAAAATATGAAACTTTAGGTTTCATGTGAGGTTTAAAAACTTTACAAAAGCATTATTCACTTCCTATTTTGGCTCTCTTTTCTAAAGAATAATAGTTAAACTCTTTTGTTTAGTTTTGACTTTTCCTTTATTGTATGTTACCTTCTCTTGTCTACTAATAATAACAATGTCCATCCATTTGTATAGAATGGATTCATTTTTAGAATAAAGTTAACAAGGAACTATTAAAACCTAGTATAGAATCAGATTTGGAGTCAATTATATGTGTCAGAGCTCTGGAATTTCTAATTTGATGCAGGAGAATTAGCTCTTAAATGTTCTCTATTTATACTAAACAACTAAGAGCATGATTTCTACTCAAGTTTTAAGAGCTACAGAGATTCAGTAAGGATCAAAATCACCAGAGGAAAAAATAAGATAACTCTATACTAAATACATTTACTGACTAGAAAATTCCCGTATACCTGGTTGCTTCCAATTCAACCCTCCTCAGGGATTTTATTTTTGCCAGGTTATAAGGAAAAGCAGGATAGAGAAATTTTCTGCTAGCATTTTGGAAGTACACTAAAAGAAATTATAGGAACATTGAAGTAAGAAGATGAACATTTTGATAAACAAAATTTGTTAATTCTAAAGAGACAATTTACCTTTTGAAAACATTTACAATTAATCCAGTCTAAATCCATGCCACTGTTATGATTTCAACATGTCTTGGTCCAGAACACTAGTTTAATTATTTCACAGATCAAAGAGGAAAGGCTCTCAGCTAGAGACTCATCAACTGCAAGAACAGCTCTTTCCACAACACTTGCCAAGTCCTTGTATATAATTCGATATTCCTATGGGTTGAATTGTGTCCTCCAGAAATCCACACATTGGAATCCAACCTCAAGTACCTCAGCATGGGACCTTATTTGGAAACAGAATTGTTGCAGATATACGAGGTTAGGATGGAGTTGGGTGGGCCCCTCTTCCAGTATGACTGGTGCCTTATTAAATAGGAGAAATATGAACACAGAGGCATGCACAAAAGGAGATGTCACGTGAAAATTTTGGTTCTGCTGTGACAAACCAAGGAACTCACAAAAGCAAAGTGAGAGTCCTAGAACAGAACCTTCCGTAGGGCCTTCAGAAACATGGCCTCCAACACCTTGATTTCATACTTAAGGCCTCCAGAATGGAGAGACAACAAATTTCTGTTGCCCTAAGCTATTCGGTTTGTGGGACTTTGTTTTGATTGGCCCTCGTTAAAATATAAGTTATCAAACTTTTTTTTTCATATTACTCTTTTCAAATTTTGCTGCCCTGTCATATGACACAAAGATATCAAACCAAAAAATCGTGAAACAGAGCTATCACCATGCGCCCTTCTCATTCACTCCACCCCCACTACCCTCCCATTCTAGACCCATACCACCATGGAGGTGATTTCCACAAGAGACCTAACTTTTGCCTGGCTTAGCCTACGAAAGCATGACTGGCCTTTTACGTGGACCCCGCTGCTAGCCAGTTATAATAAGCCCACCCTCCCTTGTGGCTTTACTTGTATGACTTGGTTGAGAAGTTATGTGTCATTTTAGACAGAAATGTGCCCCTTCTCCTAGCAATTGCCCCCACCTTTGATTAGAAGGGCTGAAATTCTCTCAACAAAGGCAAGAACCTTTCCTTTAAGCTATTGAACTGTGAAATAAACTGCTCCCTGCCAAAACCCACACACACTACAGCAAACTTTCCAGTAGCACTGGAGTATGCTTCATGGTCCAGTAAGATGTTGAGAAAGTGATATGAGAGCAGGCTAGCACAACCATTTGAAGAATAGTGTATCTGATAGTGTAACTGATATATTGTATATGAGTAAGTAAAACAGAGGAGGACAGAAAGTAAAAGATAATTTTTTTATGTTATATACTCACCAGGCACTCTGTTGCTTGTTGATTTAAAAAAAAAAAAAAAAGCTACTAGTGGACAATTACTTTCTGTGCCATCTAGTTTTAAGTCTACTGAAATTTGACCAGTACTGGAATATACAAATTGGCCCAACTTTTCTAAAAAACACCCTAGTTCAAACACAATGTAAATTCATTACATATGTCAGAATTTTTACATCCTTATAAGAGCACAGGAAGGGAATATGTGTGGCCAAGACCTCCAAGCAGGATTCAGGAATAGGAAGAAATGGTACTGAAGATTATTCCTCCTCCAAGTTAAGTATCATCTAGATATGAGCAACCTGATGATGAGGTCACACTTGAAGTAGGCATCAGTTCTAGGTACATCTTTGAAAATGTCTATAAACTCAAGCTTAGGATTTGGTCAGAATGAAATAAAGCACAGGAGACTCATGACAATACACAGGCTACTTGCCAGGACTACTTGTTGCCAACAAAAATTGTTTTCAATTCTGAGCATCTGGAATATGTGATATAGCTGAGTGATGCTCATTAAGTAGGGAGCAAAAAAACACCATACAGAAATCAAGTCTACAGACATGTCAAAACACCCATTTTGGATAACACTTTTATGATAATATATGCTTTTACTTTCCATTCTCTCTTTATCTAATGAGAGATTGGCAGAATGGATAAAAGAAAGAAATGCAAGAAAAAGAAAAAAAGAAAGCTGGATGATCTGACTCTGAGCAATTGGATGTATAGAAAATGCATGCATTTCAGAAAGATTTTACTGTGAGACAGTCCTAAAGAGAGAGACTTAGTTTGTCTTTAGCATTTATCAGCTTAATGTTTAAATTGCTTCCCGAGTACAAACATCAATAGAAATGAAAACCTGGAAAGAATCTAAAGTGAATGCTAAGGTTTCATTACTTTTTTGGAACAGTAAGATCTGCTAAGATTAGAGTAAAATATAAAGTATTTCCCCTCTTCATCCCATTTTAAAAAATAATGATGAATGCCTATTAAAACAATTCGCGCCTTTCTGCAT